ATATAAAATTTTATTAATAAATTATTATATTTATATTTTATTATTATATAAAAATATAAATTTACTAAGATTAAACAAAAAAAGTATTTAAAAATTATCTCATTCCCTTAAAAGATAAGGGTGAATAAGATCAAATGTACTTTTTTTACCATTCATTTTTTTTATCTCTATGTTGTTGACATGGTGGAAACTTATAACATCTTATGTTTTTAGGTCAGTCCATAAGGACTCGACATGTGTGCTTTCGTAACTAGTTTTTCTAACGATAACTTTCAATGACATGATGATTGGATTCATTTAATTAGATTCATTTAAGATGTTTCTCAAGATCATTTCTTAGATTGGCTAAGGATGTCGACATAGATTCCAAATTCATGGATTTTTAAGCTAGTTAATTTAAACTCAACACATGATAAAATAATAGTTCACTTTTTACAGTGACTGGTGACGTGGATGATGACTTCGTATGAAAGAATTTTTGGCATAGATTGTTTCATTGGCCAACATCACTATAAATAAAAGGAAAATTTTGTTAGTACAAAATAATATTTATATTCAATCACGCTTTATCTCATAATCAACTAAATTTTAGATTCATAAAATTTTAAATTAGTTAATTTAAACTTAACACGTGGTAATATAATAATTTCCTTTTGAAAGTAACTTTGATGACTTGGTGATTAACTTTGTGTAAAGGAATTTAAGTGTTGGCCAACAATACCATGAATATAAGGAAGTTTTTATTAATGTAAAATTATATCGATATCTAATCACACTTTATGTCATAGTTAACTAAATTTTCAACTCATAGATTTTTAAGTCAGTTAACTTAAACTCAACATGTGGTAGCATAATGGTTCTTTTTTTATAGTGACTTTGATGACATAATAATTAATTTTGTGTGAAAGGATTTTCGGCGTGAGTTGTTTGATTGGCCAACAACACGATGAGTATAAAGGAATTTCTGTCAATACAAAATAAAATTTATATCTAATTACTCTTTATCTCATAGTCAACTAAATTTTAGACTCATGAATTTTTAAGTTAGTCAACTTGAACTCAACACATAGGAACATAATGGTTCCCTTATGACAATGACTTTGATGATGTGGTGATCAACATTGTGTGAAAGGATTTTCAGTGTAAGTTGTTTGATTAGCCAACAACACGATAAATATAAGGAAATGTTCGTCAATACAAAATAATATCTATATCTAATAATTTTTAATCTTATACTTAACTAAATTTTAGACTCACGGATTTTCAGATCAATCAACTTAAACTCAACAATGGTAATATAATGGTTTCCTTTTGACAATGACTTTGACGACGCAAAGGTTGACTTCATGTGAGAGGATTTTCGGCATAAGTTGTTTGATTAGCCAACAAAACCATGAACATAAAGAAATTTTTGTCAATGCAAAATAATATTTATATTCAATCATACTTTATTTCATAGTCAACTAAATTTTAAACTTAGATTTTTAAGTCAGTTAATTTGAACTCAACATGTGGTAACATAATAATTCCCTCTTGACAATGACTTTTTTGACATGGTGGTTGACTTTATGTGAAAGGATTTTTGTTATGAGTTATTTGATTGGCTAACATCATTTTAAGTATAAGGAAAATTTTGTCATTACAAAATAATATATATTCAATTTCTTTTTATCCTATAGTCAACTAAATTTTGATTGATGAATTTTTAAGTCAATCAACTTGAACTCAACATGTAATAACGTAATGATTTCCTTTTAACAATAACTTTGGTGATGTGGTAGCCAACTTCATGTGAAAGGATTTTCGATGTGGGTTATTTGATTAGCTAATAATATCATAAATATAAGGAAAATTTTTCCATGCCAAATAATATCTATATTCAATTTAACTATATCTTATAATCAACTAAATATGTTATTAGATCTTAGTATATATCGTGATCAATCCATTCTAGTTCTATTCTTTAAATATTATTTAATTCAAACTCATCTCATTTTCCAAAGTACCATAATTTATTTTTTGATTGTACTTTTTTTAATAATTTGATTAAAAAATACAAAAAAAGTTTAATAATTCATCCTATATTAATTAAAAATACCTCAATCCATAACGAATGGGGTTTATCAAGTAAAATAAATGTTTGAGTACTACTTCTCAATAATTTTAAAACACTTGTATTATATTTTTAGCATTACACTTTTTTTTATGGAATAAGTTTTATGTATTTGGGAAACTTGTTTTTTTATATTTCATTCATTAAGGGAATGTTTGGCATAAATTTTTTCTCTTATAAAAAATTTAGGATATTTTAAACTTTACACTTTAATACTACTAGAAATTAATAGTAAAATTGAAATTTTAATCTTTATTTTTCTAACATAATTTTTAATAAGTAATCATTTTTTTCATATGTGACACTCTTAAACAAATTTTACATTGACAAAACACAAGAAATGTTGAGTATATAGTTCAATCCTCATTACCCTTTATTAATGTGTTTTAAAACAGTATAATTCAGACTAGGTTATTACACCCTTAAAGTGAAACTCATTTGATAATTTTCTTCAAACTTTTTTGAGTGTATACCAAGATACAAACTTTAATCATTTTTCTATTTAAGTACACATTTTCCCCATTTCTAATAGAGTGATTTGCTTTTAATTTTTTTAAAAAAAATTTAAGATATCAACTTTACTTTTATTTTTTCTATTTAAGAATTTAGTTAATATGTGACAAATTTATTTAAAAACTAGAAAAAAGTCATATATTCCAAAAAAAAAAAAGTAGCAAAATTAGTATCTTTATATGTATTTTTGCTTTAATTCTTTCAATATTAATTTCTTACTAAAAATAAAAGATTTAACCAATTTAATAAAATTTTGCCAAAATGTTATTATAAAATTGATTAAATTTTCATATAGTAATTTTTAATTTTTTATATAATATTTTTCTAATAAAAAACATAATAATTTTCTATTTACCAAAAAAATATCCTAAAAATTTTTACATTAAAATTAACCTCTAACCAAATTATGCCTGTCCTTTTGATACAGCAGTTGGACTTAACTCTGGGCTCTCCGCGCGTCATAGTAGCTATCCCCCTTGTAATCTGATTTACCACGCTCTCATGCGAGTTGGTAAGATCTGTAACGACCGCTCCGGGAATCGGAGTGGAATGACGGCCGCTGTCTTTGTTTGTTTTTCACTTCAAAGTCTTCCCCATTACTCAAAAAATGAAATTTCTTTTTTAAAACTTTCTCTCGGTCATGTTCTAAACGTCGCTTCACCGCCGTTTAAAATTTGCCCATCCTCTCTCCTTTTCTCTCTCCACAGTGTGCTGCGCACTGCAGAGTGTACGCTGCTTTCTTCTCTCTTCATAACATCTGCGTTCAGTCTTTACCCTATAGTTCACGCCAAACACCTGTGTTTTTTCATTTCTACCATCATATACTCGGATACCAAAGTCGAAGCCTTTGTTCGGCTGTCGAGCGACATAACTTCTCTGCCTTTTCTGCACTTCATTTTTGGTTGTTTTCCTTTTCTGGGTTGGTACTACGGTGTTGGTTTTGGGGAACAATGGAGTTGGGTGGGTTTATGGTGGGGATGAAGAAGAAAAGGAAGGAGCTTTATGGGTTGTTTGCCATGCTGGTTTTCGTTTTTCTTTTTCCTGTTGCATCCCCGCACAACGACGAAGGTACTTTTTTCTTCATTGTTTTTGGCTCGAATGTGAAGTGAAGGTTTCTGGGTGGTGAGACTTTTCAAGTTTTTTCCCATTTGAGGTTCTGGGTTTTCCATATATGGAAATTCTGGAGTTGTTTAGTGTCTTTGTTTGTTTAACCACTTGCTTTGAGTACTGTATGATTTGGGCTGGGGTCCCTTTTTTATGGATGTTTTTAGCTTCAAAACCTGTCTGTTTTCCCTTTAGAGTACTTTGAGTGGGGTAGAAGTGTAGAACTGTTTCCCTTTTTATTTATTAAATAAAAAATGAGATCTTTTTCTTGTGGGCAATATTTCTACGAGACTGTAGATAGTGAACAAGGGAGCGGAAATACACTGTTTGGTTGCTGGGAAACGAAAGGAAAATTCTGCGGAAGCTATATTAATTTCCTACATTATTATTTAAACTACAGGATGAGAAATTACGAAACTTTCCTAAGTGAGTTCGTTCTCTAGTTTCGTCTCTGGATTGGGGACATTGTAGTCCTTCTAGAGAGAAAAAAATGATTGAAGTTTAGGTGGTCTGTTTATTTAATTAATTTTTTCCTTTGTAAGTGGTGTGTTCTGAATTTAGAAAGTTAAAATGGTGAACGGTGATTTCAGGGAATGCCTTGATGTCGATAAAGGCATCTTTTAGCAACGTCGTTAATGTGTTGCTCGACTGGGATGATGTGCACAATCCTGATTTTTGTTCCTGGCGTGGTGTTTTATGCGACAACATCAGCCTCTCTGTTGTCTCTCTGTAAGTTTCTTTGATCTCTGTAACTATATTCTGCATTAGCAATTTAGAATGGCAAAGTTGAAGTGGGATTCTTTTTCTGAATCTAATTTTGGTGATTTTGATCTGTTTTGTTTCAGGAACTTGTCAAGTTTGAATCTGGGTGGGGAGATTTCTCCAGCTGTGGGTGATTTGAGGAACCTTCGGTCCATGTAGGTGTTCTTTTGAAATGCTGTTTCCAATTATGAACATTTGTATAAGCTGCTTGTGTGGTGCATCTATTTTTGATTTTTGGTTGTTTAAATTTGGCAGAGACTTGGAGTGGAACAAATTAACGGGACAAATCCCAGATGAGATTGGAAACTGTGCTTCTCTTGTTCATCTGTAATCCATCCATGTTCATGAATTTCCGTACTTTTTTTTTTGGTGATGTATGCTTCATGGATTGACTGTCCTGCATGGTGCAGGGATCTGTCCAACAATCTGCTGTGTGGAGATATACCCTTTTCTATATCTAAGCTCAAGCAGCTTGAAGTCTTGTAAGCCGGTCTCTTAACTTTCAGTGTTACAGAATACTTTGTTTTTATAGACAGTGGATTAAGCCAATTTCTTCTTTTCAGGAATTTGAAGAGCAACCAGCTTACAGGACCTATTCCTTCAACCTTAACCCAGATTCCTAATTTGAAAACTCTGTGAGTTCCTTTCAGTGCATGTATCCTGTGTGCATTTGTAACTTTTATTGGTGTAAAATCATTTTTAACATAAGTTTCATGCTTTTGGTTATTCTTCAACTGCAGTGATCTTGCAAGGAACCAGCTAACTGGGGAGATACCAAGGCTAATTTATTGGAATGAAGTCTTGCAGTACCTGTAAGTGACGGCAAATTAGGCATCAAGCAACAGCTTCTTATTCTCAGATCTTTTTCTCAATCTTTTAGGCATAATGAAGCCTCAGACAGATGCATGGATTTTATAATTTCCATTCAACCATTAGGGAGAATGTGGACACTGCAAACTGTTGGATTTCTAAGTTTTAACCTTGTTGAAGTTGTGCTGTTTCTCTAAAGTGGTTGGGATTGTTGTTACAGTGGCTTGCGTGGCAACATGTTGACTGGAACACTGTCACCTGATATGTGTCAATTAACAGGCTTGTGGTATTTGTAAGTGTTTGTACTTAAATGCTGTGATTCTCTTCCTTGCTTATATTTTACTCCCAGGAGTGTAATGAATGTTGATTTACTTGGTTGAAATTGGTTCCAGTGATGTGAGAGGCAACAACTTAACTGGTGCTATTCCAGACAGCATTGGTAACTGTACTAGCTTTGAGATCCTGTACGTGATGGCCTCAGAATACTTTTTACTGCTTATTTGCTCGCCTATTCTTCACTGTTTAATAACTTTAGCGCATTGCAAATTCAGGGATGTATCTTATAATCAAATCACTGGGGAAATACCATATAATATTGGCTTCCTCCAAGTTGCAACCCTGTAAGTTCTTAAAATGATCTTTCAGTTTGCTTACTTTGGCTGTAGGTAATGTTTAAGAAATTGCTGACTTGTAATGGGAGTCTCTATAGTTTATTTGCATTGGAGTCTAACACGCATGTTTCTGATAGGTCACTTCAAGGAAACAGGCTCTCTGGAAAAATTCCTGAGGTGATTGGTTTAATGCAGGCCTTAGCTGTCCTGTGAGTATACATGCTATCCAAAGTTGTAAAGAAAGTTTCTTTCTCATTGCCATTGGGTTAAAGAATTTAATTGGTGCCTTTAAAATTGTAACCTGTGCTTTCTTTCAGAGATTTGAGTGAGAATGCGCTAGTTGGGCCAATTCCACCAATACTTGGGAATTTGTCATACACTGGAAAACTGTGAGTTTTGTTACGTAAAAAATTTAAAAAGAGTACATACCACTTATTATTAACTACTGTCATTAGACCTTGATTTACTTTAAAATGCTTAACAGGTACCTCCATGGAAACAAGCTTACTGGTACAATTCCACCTGAACTTGGCAACATGTCTAAGCTTAGCTACCTGTGAGTGTTTTCTGACTTGAAAATCTCAAGTAATGGCACAGTTGCATATTTATTTGAGTGAGTGGATGGTCAAAGTGTCACTAAATTAATTCTTCTGCAGGCAATTGAATGACAATCAACTGGTTGGCACAATACCTGCTGAGCTAGGGAAGTTGGAGCAGTTGTTTGAATTGTGAGTGTTTTTTTTATTTCCCCCCTGCCTTGGTCTACATTAATTGTCTCTTCATGTTGTAAGCTTTATCTTCCTTGTTTCAGGAATCTTGCAAACAATTTCCTGGAGGGACCCATCCCACACAACATTAGCTCATGCACTGCATTGAATCACTTGTATGATGTTTATTAAATATCTAAAATTTTATGCACTTAATTACTGTTTGATCCTAAGTAGCTCTGACCCTTTTGTGATTTGGTTTAAGCAACGTGCATGGCAACCATTTAACTGGATCTATTCCCTCGGGTTTGCAGAATCTGGAGAGCCTAACTTGCCTGTAAGTTACAAAGGCACTCAATGTTTGAAGTGTTTCTTAAACAGTAAACCATGATTGATTGAACTTAACATTATGGATATCTAGGAATCTTTCTGGGAATGACTTCAGAGGCAGGATACCAATTGAACTGGGTCATATCATCAATCTTGATAAATTGTAAGTTTCTCAAGTTAATGTGCATTTTGCCTGTGATGATCCATCTAATCTAATAATCTTGGTATACCATCCTTTTTTCAGGGATCTATCTGACAATAATTTCTATGGACCTGTACCAGCTACTATTGGTGATTTAGAGCACCTTCTTACTTTGTAAGCTTGTAACTGATCCATATATTGCACAGTGACTGATGTCTAAGACTTGTCAATGGTATAAAATTCATTTGTATTTCTTTTCCTGCAGGAATCTGAGCAAAAATGAACTTAATGGGTCATTGCCTTTGGAGTTTGGGAATCTTAAAAGTATCGAAATCATGTTAGTTTTCTGATGGAACAAGGACTCCATTGTGTTTATACATTGCTTCTCTTTAGTAACGTTTCTTATCTCTCCATCTGCAGGGACCTCTCATTCAACAGTCTCTCTGGAAGCATACCTGCAGAATTGGGTCTGTTGCAGAACATTGTGTCTTTGTGAGTTCAAAGCCCAGTAGCCTGATGCTTGATATAGTATTTAAAGTTGTTGAGTCCATAACATGAAATTCTAACATGCTTGCTATTCTGTATGGAAGAATACTAAACAACAACAAGCTGCAAGGTGAAATCCCAGATCAGCTAACTAATTGCTTAAGCCTTGCTAGCCTGTAAGTTGTCTTCTCTGTTTCAAGTTATTTCTCATCTTTAGTGATATCTGACTGAATTTCAACAAATGTTTGTTCCAGTAATGTCTCATACAACAACTTATCAGGCATCATACCTCCTATTCGAAACTTCACAAGGTTTTCACCAGACAGGTATGGCAATGCAGCATGTTATGCATTTCTACTAGCTTGCCATGTATTTCTTGATTTTTCTCCTGTAATGATCTCTATGGTGCTGTAACAGTTACATTGGAAATCCATTACTATGTGGTAATTGGATGGGATCAATATGTGGTCCTTCTGTGTCAAGGTCAAGAGGTAAGTTCTTTTCTTGACTTGTTCAATGCTTACAATTAATAGACTTTTTGTGTTGTCTTTTCCTTTTAACTACTTTTATTGTTATCAGTTTTCTCCAGAGCTGCTGTTGTTTGTTTGACACTGGGCTTCGTTACATTGTTATGCATGGTGGTTGTAGCCATTTACAAATCCAACCAACAGAATCAAGTGACAAAGGGTCATCTGAAAACTGCACATAGTATGTATTTCTCTGCTACATTGACCTAATATCATTTCAGTTGTCTCAATTCTCAAATTTCTGTTTTCAGGTCCACCCAAGCTTGTAGTGCTTCACATGGATATGGCTATACATACTTTTGATGATATAATGAGAGTCACCGAGAATTTGAGTGATAAGTATATTATAGGATATGGTGCTTCTAGCACAGTTTACAAATGTGTGTTGAAAAATTCCCGACCAATTGCAATTAAGCGACTTTACAATCAGTATGCACACAACTTGAGGGAGTTTGAGACAGAGCTTGAAACCATTGGCAGCATCCGACATAGAAATATTGTCAGCTTGCATGGTTACTCATTATCTCCATTTGGTAACCTCCTCTTCTATGACTATATGGAGAATGGCTCTCTGTGGGATCTTCTGCATGGTTTGTTAGCATGCTTTTTTAACATTTTTTTTCCTACCTTGTTTAACCGTCACACACATGAACACATTTGTTTTTATTTTGTGGTACGTTACTGCCTTCTAATGTGTTCAACAGGACCATCGAAGAAAGTTAAACTTGACTGGGAAACACGCTTGAAAATAGCTGTTGGAGCTGCCCAAGGACTTGCTTATCTTCACCATGATTGCAGCCCTCGAATTATCCACAGAGATGTAAAGTCATCGAATATTCTGCTGGATGAGAATTTTGAGGCACATCTCTCTGATTTTGGGATTGCTAAATGCATTCCTGCTGCAAAAACTCATGCCTCTACTTACATTTTGGGAACCATTGGCTACATTGATCCAGAGTATGCTCGGACCTCTAGGCTCACAGAAAAATCAGATGTCTATAGCTTTGGAATTGTCCTCCTTGAGATTCTGACTGGGAAGAAGGCCGTGGAAAATGAGTCTAACTTGCACCAACTGGTATGTTTCAGTCCTGGAATTGACTAATCTCTTATAAGAATGTTTATTTTGATGGCCCTTGTATCTTAAGTGATTGGTAGCATACATATAGTTAAGTACTTAAGTCATGTTTGCAAAGAATTGAACACCTGGTCTTAATTTTTTTCCCTGTTTAATCTGTTTCTTAGATATTGTCCAAAGCTGATGATAATACTGTAATGGAGGCTGTCGATCCAGAAGTCTCTGTTACATGTGTGGATTTGACACATGTCCGGAAGACCTTTCAGCTGGCTTTGCTGTGCACTAAACGGCACCCTTCTGAGCGGCCAACCATGCATGAGGTTGCCAGGGTTTTACTTTCCTTCCTTCCAGCGCCTCCTACAAAACCTTGCTTAGCTCCACCAAAGCCCATTGACTATGCACGGTTTTTAATTGAGAAAGAACAGCAGCAATCACAATTGCAGCAGACCAATGCATCCAACGCTCAGTGGTTTGTTCGCTTTCGAGAAGTTTTATCCAAGAACACCCTTTGAACCTTCTTTTCATCTAGAACTAGAATAAATAAAGCTGGAGAATCCTAGTTCTTTTCGGTTCACAATGGGCTACTTAATTTTCTCAGAAATGGATGAATGAGCACTGGAGCCGGATGCATATGATCCACCATTTTGTTTGTTCTATGACCAACCGGTAGATTTATACCTTCAAACTCTGACACCCTACTGCAAAATGAATCTAAAATTCAAAGAGACTTGTGTGCTTTGTATTAATATCTATCCGTAGGTACTTTCTAAGGCTATCATGTAATGAATGATAAGGTGTTTGTAATATAGGTAAGGTGTTTTTGTGTTCTAGTTGTGTTCTAGTTATATTATTCTATGGGAATCCAACAGTCTGGTGAAATAATGAATTGCACTGATTGAAAAACATGGGTTATTAAACGAAGGGAAGGCTTCTAATATTAAAGAACATATTTTTTCTCGATGATTAGTGTTGTATAGTTTGTTAAAACGGTAGAACATTTTTGTTTAATCCATACTATCTCCTTAAGGTTTTCTGCCATTATTCTTCTTAGTACGAGTTATTTTAAGGTTCAAATTCAACAGAACTAAAAATCTTGAAGACATACTGTACGTTGCTGTTAACCAAAACTTTCCCATCAAGAAGAGGCAATCCGCCATTAAAAGTGTCCATACGCATTACATATCCTCTCACCAAAATTTTTCCTGAAGCATGGTTCCATATTTTGTACTGAAGATTTTCAGCCCTATTCCATTCCACATTTCCATGCTCCTGCAGTAACAAATTGTCGATAAATTTCGTGTTCAGTAACTTCTAAGAAATTATAACCTGCCTCTTGAACATACCACAGGTGCTGTATGATAACATTAATCGTCTTCTAAATAGCGTCCATCATTTTGCAGCCTCTTTGTGCTACCAGCGGATTGAAAATAACGTCCCTGGTAGATTCCTCGTCTCTTTTTTGATGTACTTAAATTCCTCATCTTAATCTTAATTAAAGGGTCACCTGTCATATAAATGTAGAAATATCATCTCTTCATGCTTAAAGGTCCAAATCCCTGAATATTCACACAGCAGCATTACATTACATTGTAGCACCATTACATTGTAGAATTGAAGAATGTGACCTGGTTCATAACAAAAAATTTAGCTTAACCATGAACTAGTTGCTTTTCTTACGGTTGACACTACATATAGCTAAATTTAAATTGCTCACACAGTTGTCAACGATACTGCTATAATTCTCAAAGCAATCAAATTCAGTATCTTAACAATCACTAACACGGGACAAGGAAATGAAAAGATTAAAGTAGATGATACCTGTTAATATTTAGTCTTGGTCGAATTTCTTTAGTGCTTTCATTCCTACATCGATGTTGCATCCCACCAATCCTCTGTAAATTCTCTTTTTCCAGAATCACAATCTACAATATGGATATTCTAAGGCCATTATCATTCCAGCAGTAAGAAAAAATTTATTGTCAAGTTGCCCCTACTCCTGTATTCTAGTTGTGCTTAGATGAGTATTTGTTATATAAATATATAAAAAAACAAACATAGGAGCCTGCATTACTGTACCTCATGTTGTAGGACTAAAACTGGTGCATTCTCCTTTGATCCCTTAAGCCAGTCGGTGTAAAATCAGTGACCATTAAAATGTACAAAATATATCTTGGTTACAGAATTAGGAGAGTTGAAGGAGCTAACCTTTTTCGTGACAGCCTTTCTTGATTGTATTTTCATGTCAGGTTGGACATCAGATGACAGGGAAAGCTGGATATAATATTAAGTGTAATGAAAATTAATATATGCGACTAATGCATAAATTGGTCAATTGTCTTCAGGATAGTTAAGATGTATGCAATGCTGAAAAAACAGTATTAAGTACTACCTTGTTAAATAACTCTGTCGGTGGCTCATCTGGATGCCTCATCTCTGCTGGTGACTTGGGCCCCTACAGGAAGCAGAATACTGGATTAACAAAGAAATGTGCTAAACATGGGAAATTGGGGCATATATTTATGTATAGCCAAAAAAAGAACATATGTTTGTGCATAGAGAAAACATGTTTAACTACCATGGGGACATTCTGGAAGACATCATTTTCTCCTTTACCTGAAAGTTTCTGAGTAGACAACAATATAATCCCACATAATAATATATTGTTAAAACTGAAATTTTGTTAAAAGAACAAAAACGGAAAGGGAGGGAAGAAACATGGTATATGTAGCACCTTCTTACTAAGAGGACAAGCTTCATGACCACCATCATCTCTCCCCTTCAAAGCATTGCAAGAGTATAATCTATAAAAGAAAAGGCATTTTGAGTCAAAAACAATTGGAATAATCTGAATTCATATAAGATTGTTTAAAAGATCAGGGATATGCATGTATTAAGAGAAAAATATCAACTGAAATCTAATAAGATAAAGTGGGTTACTATCACTTGCACTAAAAAAAGTTCAAAGAACTAATACGTTGAATAATGGCAACAGCAGCAGAGAAGATAGTATAAAATCAAAATTCTAAAGGCAATTGAGTGGGGCTGCAACTTTACATTTGACTTTGTTAACTGGAAAAGTCTAAAATGCACTCACTGTTACCTTTTACAGTCTTTGGCTTCATTTCGTGAAGTAGAAACATAGTTAGGTAGTTTTGTTGTCTGCAAAAAAAGGAGATGGAGATGATATATTAGGTCTTAAAATTGAAACGACATTCAATCCAATAAAAAGAGCGACATGTAAATACTCACTTTATTCAAGACATGTTGCTTGGCTCTCTCTGATGTCCTCAAGTGAAACTCCTGAAAGCAAGGAGACAAAAATTGCAGTGTCACAAACTTAATGTGCAGGTCAATTCACTCAAGAAATGTGTTCCAATTGAAGGATGAGCACCTAATGTGTTTAGTGATTACCTGAAACCGTGGCAGTGGTGGCTGGCACCTCTTGGGAAGGAGTGATAAAGGAGCCTCAAGAATCTATCAATTACAAAGGATTGGAGGTCCCATATTACATATTTAAATACTGAAAGCATCTTTAAAATTATATATATCTATGAAATTCAGTTAAAAACAATTTCACAAACTGAAAGTACCAACTTTTCTGTTTAAGGGCTGTGCTTTAAAGACTCGACCATTTGGTTTTGGATCTCCATTTGATTCTTCCTTAACTTTAGAACTGAAATTCAGAACACATATCATCCAACACACTCTAGCAAATAGTAATCACAGCATGATGTTCCAAACCTAAAAATGTATCACTAAGGAAAAATGGAAAGTGGTTATTACCTACGTTGCTGCGCCCTTCGTGCGGTTTCTAGTTCTGGTTCTCTAGGAACTGTAACTCTATGTCTACTCTCATAGGACCCAACCTGATAATGGAATAAAAATTGTCAGAACTACACTAAAATATCGACTTGATCATTAATACAGTACCAAGAAAAATGTGCATATAACAAGTGTTTTAATTGCCATAGGCAACTAACAATTCGAAATTTATAGTCAAGAATAATGTTCTAATGGTGGTGAAAGTTTCCCAAATTTTCTCACTGCCTCACTGACCTTTTTTGGTGTCTTATGTACAAAACTAACTCGATGCTTCATATGAGTAACCTGCTTCACAGATTAAGGTCTTCCATATTAGAGTGTATACTATTTAAATTTTTATAATGCAATATTCGAATATCCAAGAAATCCAAAGAAAAAAAAGAAAGTTTCTGGCAAACCTTTCTCAAGTAACCAGCTTCCAACTTTTGTCTTTTAGGAGCATGGCCGTCAATTACAGAACTCTTTGAACTCTTGTCATCAAACATGACTAACAACTTCTTAAACCTTCAAAATCAGGAATAAACAAACAAATCCCAAATTGGAAACCAAGACACAGGACAGACAAATTGTGTGAAAAAGAAAATGTGAGTTGAACTTCCAATTAGAATCAGTCAAAGTCATAACTAGAATAAAATGGTTGTGAAACCTTCTCAGTTGTTGTCTGGAATGTACTTCAGGAGATTGATTTTGCTTGGCCAAGTGACTTGCTGTGGGTTTCATCAAAGTTGAATTCCTTGACATACATGGCTTGACCTGTGACTTGGTTTTAGCCTTAGTATTATCTTCATCCATGTGACTGCCTGCTACTAATTCGAGGTAAAAAATGTTCAACAACAAGAAATTACATTCGTATGTCAAAACACCAGACTGAAATCAAAATTTGGTAATAAAAAAAGATTTACCACTTTCACCATAATCAAGTGCAGAAACTTCAGATTCATGGCTGATCTCTGAACCGTTACTACTAGAAGTAGTCATACTTTCACAGTCCCCGTCGTCTCTAGAAGAAGGGCGTGCAGATTCCCCAGCAATAACAGTTCTCTGCTTTAACTTTAATGCAAATGCTGAACACAGAAAGATGAATAAATAAATTGAGGAAAGAGATTTGCTTGAACAAAAAGAAAAATGGATGATAACGTGATGCCTTAGGCTTACGTGAAGGCGGATTACTTCCGGCAGACATGAACCAGAGTTGTGCCTCTGCAGCTTCCCAATCCGTTTCCGGCCGAGTGAAATCATAGAACTGAGGCGCGTCAAACTCCAAATCCTCATTGATTTCTCCGAACTCAACTGGTTCATCGATTACAAAAAATTCTTCCATACCTTCCTCCGTTACACCCCACTTCTCCCTGCAATTCCAGGCCCCTCAAAGTATCGCGTTTCAATCAGAGAAACCAGAAGCCTCCATCGTTTTCTTCCTTCTCCTCCCTCAGAAAGTTAAAACAAAATCGACCCATTATTTGGAATCTCGGATTTAATCAAATTTGATTTCCATCTCTTTCTGTTTATAGTGATCATTCCATGAAATTGAAATCGTAAAATTATGTCTGGAAACACAGAAAGAAACGTGTGACCCAGAATTTCATCGGATTCTCTTCCCCCAAAAAGGTTGCAACTTTGTCGGACAACGAGGGAGAGAAGAGAAACCGGAGAGAAATAGATGTCAGAAACCCTAATTTGATGGGAGAAATGTTGAAGTTTTGAAGTCGAGATGGACGCCGAGAGTTTCGTTGGTTAAGGAGGGAAGGGTCTGAGGAACTGTATGTCTGAATGTGTGTGGCTTTATAGGAAAATCTGAAAATTTGAAACTATGGGTGTTGGTGGGGTCTCAAAACGGGAAAACTGTTAATTTTCTATATTGGATTCCCCTGTCACTTTCTAAGATTTTTTATATACTTACTAATTATTTTGCTATTATATGATGATGATTGTGTCTTGTTATTTTCTTGGGATTATGGCAAATAGAAATTATATTTTTTTAATTTAATCATTAAGAATAGTTGATATTTAAAAATATATTGTACAATTTCAAATGAAGTATTTTTTTTTAATGAAAATCCTGCTATCTGATAATTATATTAGATTTCGACTAATTTAGAATTGATTTATGTCGAAATCCATATGGGAAAAAACTCTCTTAGCGTTTGTTTTTCTATTTAAAATATTCAAACTCAAGATTTTATTTTAAAAAAATTGAATTCTTTCTATTTAAATTAACACGTCATTGGACAAATGGAGCTTAAACGGAATCCTTCATATTAAGACCCTATGTTTAGTCAACAATTAAAAAATAATTAAGAGGTAATTCTTTTTATTAAATGTAAAAAATTATGAGTTTAAGCAT